AGGCAGGAGCGGGTGTTTCAAAGTAGGCTGGGTATCGGCCCTGCTGCGGCTGAGGAGAAACGTCGGGCAAGAGGATTTCCAGAATGTATGTTGGTGCAAAATAGTTGAATAAGCCTGACAAACTCTGGTACTGCCCTCAGTTACTCTCCTAAAGCCCTCTCCGGACGTGATCATCTGGAAAAATGAGTATAGTTCCGTTTTGTAAACGGGAGCCTTACGCCAAAGCAATTAGGGTAGCAGACCAAGAAAGCTCAGCCTGTGTCTAAAAGTAATAAAAGCCCATTTGGAGAATGATCATCCAATGAGACAAAAAATGCTCAGCTACTGTATCTAGAGCGAAATGTGTTTGCTTGTTTTAAAGTTAAGTTTTGCCTGTTTTAAAGATTGAGGTAATAAAGGGGATTAAGTTCACTAGGTAACTAGTTAAGTAACAGGTTACTTAGTTCCCTGGGTGGACTATCTAAGCTGAATCCAATTTTCAGACTGTGCATTTTGTATTGAAACATCCTTCTGTTTTGTATTGGCTGTAAGGGTGGGTTGAAAAGATGGATAGTATGGATAACTTGTTGCACATTTGCATTCCTTCCAGACTGAATCTTTTACTAGTGGAAATTTTCCCTAAGTTTTCAAGTGTTTGTTGTGAACCTAATGTTTTCCCAGAAATCCTTTAACTTGAGAATAGTAATAAATTCTGTATCTCATTAAAACCAGGAAAGAGAACTAAGCTCAAACTCCAGAGACATGTTAATGGGTTACAGAACATACTGTGAGACAAGGACTGATACTTAATGAGAAGCAAGGCAGGGGATGATTAGCTGAGGGGAAACATTCTGAGCATATATTAATTACAGAGTTATGGACAGCATTCAAAAATGTGAACAGAAGTAGTTAACTGTGGACACTAGGAACTTAAGGTATTTGATGTCTCTCTGTGTTTGGGCTTAAAAAAAAAAGTGTCTAATTACCTCAAGTGATGATAGTTATCTAATAAAAACAGATAACATACCATCAAATGACAGTAGGTCAAATAGACAGAACCCATCCTGAAGAACGGTCATTCTTAGCTTTCCAAGAAAAAAAGCACTAGGGGTCAGTCTTGTTCCAGGGCTGAGTCTTCCCTGTGTTTAAGTAGCAGATTTTTATCGACAAAATAATGGAATTATTCTATCTTTTCAATTGTGTCAAGGATTATGGGGTGTATGAGCTGTATGTGAAGAATGGAGGGCAGCAGCAGGAAAAAAAACCATTCTATTTTATAGATAAAAATAAATTTTAAAATCATTTATACATGTGGCAGAGTTGGGTTTTTTCCTGACGTATTTTATTACCATACATTTGTGTATGTTTAAAACAGATATCTGCTTTTTAAAGATGAGTCATTCGTATTTTGTATTAACTTTTAAAACGTATGGATCTGGCCTAATCCCCTTCTGCTCCTAGAGAGCAAGAAATAGATTCTATATGCACAAGTACAATAGTAACATAGAATCATATATATTAACTTTTTCCTAAAAGTTTTTGGTTTATGTTAGCAAAATAGTCACTCTACAAAAACACTATAATCAACAGCAAATCCTTAATGAGTTGGGTTTTTTTGGAAGGTTATATTTTTTAGGGCAATACAATGTGTAACCATCTTTCTGTTTAAGATATTTTTACTGGAAAATTAACTTAATCTAGCTTTTTTTCTGCTATAGGAAAAGAAGACTATGGAAACAGGAAGAGAAGAGGATGTGGAGAAGAGGATGGAAACAGGAAGGGAAGAACAGGTAAAACTTTGTGATTCTTGTGGCTTTAAAAACCCAGGACTTTTATTTTAAGTGAAACTAATAATGTGAACTGAATTATTTTTTTATTCCCATGTTTGGCAGCCCATTTATACCTACCTGCATCTCAGATCTACAGATGAGGATTTTCCCTGGTGAATACCTTGCAGTATGATGGATTTCATCCAGGATGGAAGACTTATT